TTCAAAATTAGGGCTTGCCTCATGATGTAGTTTGATGATTTGCGTAATGTATGTCCTATCCATTCCCATCGTCTTTTCCTAATTTCTTCTCATCTGACAGTTGGTTTGTTCTCTCCCAGGGAAGGTTGTTGCAAGACAATAGTGAACGGTTACACAATATTGTGGATTGATTGAAGCTAGACGTTAACATCGTTAGATGTCTATAGGCTGAGTGTTCACACGCACCAGACCGAGGGTTATTGATTCGAATCACTTTAGTACATGATCATAGATGTTCACTGCTGAAGAGTTCTAAACTAGGACGAAATAGCCATCCAGTACTTTCAAGTTTTTCATGGTGTTCTAGCTTAGATCAACTCACGAATTCAACCATTAAATAATATTCAGTTTAGGGGTTGTGGAGATTGTTAAGTTTTGATTGAGATCATGAACCGATTGATGTTAGACCACCATTGAAAACTTGCAAGCTCTGGACGGCCGTTTCGTCCTATCGTAGGACTCCTCAGTAGTGCGTATCCACGATTAGAACCCAGGACCTGCAGTCTCGCGCGCAAACGCTTAAACTACTGGACCACTGAGCCGGCATCCAGTGGTGTTAATGTCTAACATCAACCAATTCACGAAGTCGCGCAACCATCTTCCATTGTACTGAGGTAGACACCTGTTCTATCCGACATGGGTTAGCTCCACTGGTCACGGCTCCTCACTAGAACTCCGTGTATTTTCTCACGAAGTGAACACATGGTAATTATCAGTTTAGGGATAGATTTAGATATTCAAATAAAATCAATCTATTTCTATATTATGTATATAATTTCTAAAAGATAATAAATGTTATTGTTTCGTGTTTGAAATTCTTAAACCTCATACTTAATTTTGTCAAATGAAAATAATATTCCCAAAAGATATAGATACAACAATATCAACTTTTGTATCCCTGAATTCTTCATCAACCACTAGTTACCCATTAACACATACACATACACACAATTCTGACTCAAACAAGATATGTATATATATATGTGCACAGATATAACAAAATCTATTTTAAATACAGTCATGTTACAATTGTATGTTTGTTGTAGTAAACTGTTGTTTCATTTAATAAACAATGATTATAATTTATTATTATTATTAGCAACAGTGACAATGAATGATAACCATTTTATTCGCCCCCTCGCCCCTCACCCCCCCCCGAGTAAGTACATTTATGAACGATGTGTTATATATTGTATCTAAGAGAATAGAACAAACTAAAATATTTATAAAGTGTGCTAGTGTTAGTTCATTTTATAATAATGATGATAAGATTAAATTAAATATTTAGAAAATGTATTATGTATTTACAATCGAATATGGATAATGACAAACAGTGGAATCCAAGCGGTGTGTTTCGTCTCAGCATAGGACTCCTCAGCAGTGCGCATTCACGATCCCGCTTCCGGCGAGATTCGAACCCAGGACCTATCAGTGGATGCGCAGTGCTGATGAGTCCCATACTAGGACAAAACGGCCGTCCAGTACTCCCAGGTTTTCCATGATGGTCTAGCTTCAATTAAGAATGTCTACATTTCGAAAAATAATGTTGTTTCATCAAAGTTGTAATAATATTAGACGAATACTTATCTGTTTACTTGCGTTGATGTTCATCTGTATACTAACCACGAAACATAAAACACTATTCATATTCAAACATAATTCATTGTTTAGACAGTAGTAATATTACACTTACACATTCATACATAGAATACATACATCCGGCTGAGTGAACCTGTGATTATTTGTATTTGTACGCTTGTGTATACGTGTGTGCGTGGGGGGGAGAAAGAGAATGAGTGAAGAGGGAAACAGACCACCCATGATTGATATCCCCTATAATACATGTATCTCTTTGTTTATACATTACGAAACAGTATACTGTTTTCTTTTTTTTTTCTTTTTTGTTTCACTGATAGATTAATCTATTTGCCTAATTCTATCTTTGACATATTCACTATTGTTCATCTAACAGATTCTAAATAAGAGAAAGGATTGGTCAATGTGATGACAATTAAATATAATTCTGGATATTTGTTTCTTTGTATTTAAGCTTCATTGATAGTGTATGTTATTGTGTGTGGTCTTTAATATAAGTAAGTAATTGTTTCTGACCTAAAGATATTTTACATGGTGCTTTGTGTTTCCCATAAAGTAACATTGATAGATAAGCGTAAACACAAAAGATTACAGAAATGTTTATGCACACACAAACAAATGAAACAACTAAGGTAGATAGTGACAGATTGTATTTTCTTTCTTCTTCTTCTTCTTCTTTTTCTTTGTTGTTGTTTCTATTATTGTTATTATCAGAAGTAGTTGTGTAGTAATATTCCTACTATTATTATTATGACTAAACTATACCTTCATACCTAAACAATCAGTCAGTCAGTCAATCAATCCATTGAATGATTAAATATAAAAATACAACAAAGCTAAATTGTGTGTATGTGTGGTTCTCTTTTGGTTGAAATGTGTTCATGATAAGAAACAATATTATGAATGTTTTTAATGATGATTATCTTTGTAAATTGGTCTTTAGTTTGAATGAATTGAATTATCGACAATTTTCTTCTTCTTCTTCTTTTTATGTGGATAATTAAGATGAGAGTTATCGAAGTAATCATATTTTAAGATTAGATGATGGTTGGAGGTAGTCAACAGGAAACCCTGGACCCAGGTTTCGTGCTACTTGGCACTCGTCAGTAAGGTGTACTTGTAATCTTGAGGGAACTGGTGCTCCCTGGCTGATTCGATCTCGTGTCACCCAGCTTCACAGTCAGAGACGTTACCACTGAGCTATCCGAGCCGCGACCGACCTCCTGTAGGACTGAGATGTAATCACAATTTATTGATCACTGGGTGGCGATCAATGTCATGTGTCATAGTAGCCACATTGCAACATGATCGATAGCATTCGATCCGCACTAATAAGGACTAGACACGCATGACATTGATCGCCACCCAGTGATCAATCAATTATGAAATATATTTTAGTAATTTTAATAGTTGAGATCATGAGTTCATTGGAGGTAGACCATCATGGAAAATATGGATGTACTGGATGACCGTTTCGTCCTATTGTAGGACTTCTTAGCAATGTGTATCCATGATCTCAACTCACGAGATTCGAACCTATCGGTCTCAAATGCAAACGCTTAATCTCTAAACACTTAGCTACCCCGCATCCAACGGTGTTAATGTCTGACTTTAACTAATCCACGAAATTGAGCGACACCCCCACCATTGTTTTCAGTGAGTTACTATCTCACAGCAGACTCGGTTTAACTCCACTGTTCATAGCTACTCACTAGAACTCCAGTAAATACCTCTTAATGCCAGTCACTAGTGAGCATATGTTGATTAAAATCACAAGAGATTTTGTGGATATTATATTATTTTTAATAGTTCAGATCCTGAGTTAATCGAAGCCAGACCATCATGTAAAACATGAAAGTACTGGATGGCCGTTTTTTTTCCTACTATGGACGTAGTGCGTATCCATGATCCCATCTCATAAGATTCAAATCCAAGACCTATGATTATCTAAGTTTTCGATAATGATCCAGTTTCAATGGACTAATGATTTCAACTATTAAAATGACTATAATATTAAAAAAGAAAACAAACAAAGAAATTCTGGTGAAAAGTTTGATTTTCATTGATTTTTTTGTTCTATTGTTATTTGAATTGAACAATAACTGATACACACATATTCATTACACTGATGATAACAATAATAGTAGATTGGTTGAAGTTAGACATTAACACCGTTGGATGTCTAGTCGGTTGAGGGCCTGGCGCGAGACTGATAGGTCCTTGGTTTCAATCCCGTGGGGTGCGGGATCGTGGATGCACGCCGCTGAGGAGTCCCATACTAGGACGAAACAGCCGTCCAGTGCTTCCAGGTTTTCCATGGTGGTCTAATTTGAATTGACTCATGATTTAAACAAGTGAAATAATAGTAATATCAAATATGGATTTGTATAATCTACATGGTTCCCTTTGTATATGATTAGGAAACTATAATGTTATATATGATTAACAAGATAACTACTACTATATACATATTGTATATATATCTAACTCTCTCTCTCTCTTACTCCAATCTAATCTTTTGTATGCTTTATGCATAAAGCATAAAGTGTGCAGGTCACGTGTCCATGTCTACTAATCAGATCAAATATGTAATCTCTAAAGGGTTTGTTTTTGTTTGTTTGTTGTTTTAATGATATATCATTGTTTATTATGAATACAGTGTGTGTATAGAATTATGTTCAATATTCATCCCCATCTATATCCAATTGAAGAAAATAAAACAAACAATAGCAACAAGTATCCATTATTGATTGAGGTCAATCTACACAAATGATAATAATAACAATGCGAACCATTATTATTATTATTATTATTATTATTATTAGTAGTAGTAGTAGTAGTAGTAGTAGTAGTAATTGGGCCCTAATATCAAATTAAGGTTTTTTTTATATTTTAGTGCAAAGGTTAATCATATTTATGTAATTGAATCATTTATTCATTTCTTTCTTTTTGTTTGTTTAAATATACCACTCTCTTTCCCTCATTTCATTGTTCTTATTTGCTATCAGTTATAGACAGGCTGTTATATGAATGTGTGCAGGGTAAATTTGCACACTGGAAATAAAAAGTATTGATGAAAGGGGGAAATAGAGAGAGGAAGAGGGGGGTGTGTGTAAAAGATGGTTGTGTTTATCACACGCTATGTATCTATGTACACATGAATTTTCCTTTATTTTTTTACTTTTTTTTGTGATGTCTGTCTATTGGTATTAGAGAAATAGAAACTTTTGTTTTGATTTATACTCGTGTGTATGTGCTGTTTTATCGTTGGTTAATTCGTTATAAAAAGTGCAATTTGTTGTGCTCTCTAATCACTAATGTTGTGGTTAATTTCTTCTTCTTCTTCTAATGAATGATATGGTTTTTGTTAACTTATACAGTAGTTTATTCTCTAAACATTGACCTTGTAGATAAATCAGTCAAAGGGATGAAGTAATAGAATATGAAAGTATAGAATGAATAAATGGTCTATGAATGTGTATAAACTAAATGAAACCAATCTAATTTCACAATTATTCATGATTATTATCAACATTAGATTTCACTGGTGCTTCTTGTTGTTGCTGTCGTTGTTGTTGTTGTTGTTGTGGATGAATCAAATAGGTGTGTCCTCTTAGAACTATATTCATTATCCATAAGGATAACACTAGTTATCACATTACACCAGCTAGTTTATAATGTCTATTCATATGTATTATTATCATTATAGTTGATACAATGACAAGCATAATACATTATAATTAATCATAACAATACGAATAAATAGAACAATTAACATTCAATTGTTTCAAACTGTTTAAGAAAAAAACGTAAGTGACATGTTTATTTATTCTATTTTATATGAATGAAATAATCAGTCTAAACGAATCATTTTTTGTATTGAATGATCATTTTGTCTAAGGATTGATCCAAGTTGAATGTGGATACCATTGGATTCCAGTTGATTCAGTAGTTTAGAGGTTAAGTGTTCGCACGCACGCGCGCGCACGAGAGAGAGCGAGATAGAGATAGAAGATCTTAGGTTTGAATCCCATGTGCGCAGTAGTAGATGAGCATTGTTAAGGAGTATCATAATAGGATTGAATAGTCGTCCATGATGGTTTAACTTCAATGGATTCATGATCTCAACTATTGAAATAAGTTTTTGTTTTCATTTTAAATCAGTAATTCATTAGTTGTTTTTCATTCCTTACACCTCTTGTAATTATGTTAAATAAAAAATGAATTTAGTGTATAATTCAGTCAACGAATTACTTTCATTAGTTATAACATTTCTAATCTTTTAACATTAGTAAATTGTTTACTGAACGACTGTTTTGTCTCAGTATAGGACTCTTCAATAGTGCACACCTATGATCCTGGGTTCACCCCGCCCCAATGTGAGGTATTATGGATGCGCACTGTTGAGAAGTCTCATAATAGGACGAAATGTTTATCCAATGTTTGCAGGTTTTCAATACCGGCCTAACATCAATCCACTCATGATACTTGTGTTAGTTACCAACTAAACATATACCGTGTAAATATGCTTAAATTCTCATTTCTAATAACATCTGATAATTTCAACAGATTGATGTTTAGCATTGTAACTGATCAGTCTATGTTATTGGCATGTATGTATCCTGTACAGATTGCCTTGATATAACATGCGCTACACGTCCTGGATTCTATTACTAGTCACTATCCATCTTTACTTATAACATTATCATTATTAAAGTACTAATTTTAAGATGATTAAATATTTAATCAGATCAATTAAGTACTTAGAATCATAGTTACCTTACACAAATAGTCTTGTTCATTACTCTGAAGGTTTCAATTCCCGTTCATCTTAAACATTAGTCGTTGCTTCAGTTTAATGATGATCGATTTGTAAGAAGAGTTATTAATTGTATTGAAAGCAAACTCAAATATAGCAGTTTGTTTTCTGTTACTATGCAATTAATAGAAGTATTTTTTTCTTATTCAAACCTTACTCATTTGATCATCTTTAACACCATTACATAATATCATTCCTTTTAGATAGTAACAAATAGTTAGATGACTTTAATAATTGAATTCATGAGTCAATTGAAACTAGAACATTATGGGAAACCTAAAAGCATTGGATGGCCGTTTCATCCTAATATAGGACTCCTTAGCAGTGCTCATCTACGATCCCGCCCCGCGAGATTTGAACCCAGGACCTATTAGTATCGCACGCGAACGTTTAATCTCTAGATTACTATTATCAAATATATATGTGGTATAGATGATGTATGAATTTTATACTTATCTTGAACTAGACTTAAATGGAAATAATAACGAATAAAACTATCATTATGGAGTTGTAGAGATTATTAAGTTTTTGATTAAGATCATGAACCGATTGATGTTAGACTACCAATGAAAATCTTGAAACATTGGACGGTTGTAACCAGTGAAGCTAATCTGTGTTAGATGGAGAGAGGTATTTACCTCAGACAGTGAATTGGTTGAAGTTAGAGATTAACACTATTGGATGCCGGCAGACTTAGTGGTCTAGAGGTTAAGTGTTTATGTATGAGACCAAAGATTCTAAGTTTGAATCCCATATTTAGCATTATGGATAAGCACTATTAAGTAGTCCCGTACTAGGATGGAATAGCCGTTCAATACTTTCGTATTTTTCACAGTAGTCTAACATTGATCTCAATCAAGAGTAAAACTTTTAAGTTATATTAAGATAAAACTTTTTATGAATTCATTTTGATTCTTTGATATTTCTCTTATTATTCATTCATTGAATTGAACACATACTTACATATATATTGAATAGATAATAAAAGAGAATTACAGATAGATACACTTAAAAGTTATTATGATTCCTTTGAACTTCTTTTAATAGTGACAACCATTGAGTAAAGAATCAATCAAACATATTACTTTGTATGTCTGCAATACAAGTATGTATGTGTGTATAGGTATTGAGACTAATGAATGAGGCTTATTTTGGTTCCACTTACTAGACTAGTCTCCAGGTTGTATCTTGTCATTTCTTCAGCAATTTCGATGACTCTTCCAGTCTGCCATATTATACAAGCATTTCATGTACTTCAATTAATGGTCGCTCTGGTTGTTAGAAGGGGGTTGAGGCTTTTGAGTTCCGAGGGAACTCGGCTCTTATTATCAGATGTCATAATTCTTTTGAATAAAGATCTAACTTTCAGGGTAGAGTTTAAATGGTTTGAATTATTTTTTCTGGTTAATGCTGTTTTAGCTAGATAGTTTTCTACGGGATGGAATCGCTAACCCCATAACCAATACTTCTCCTTTACTCAGGCTTCGAACCGGCATTAGTCCTAGAGGGGTTCCAGGCGGAGTTACTAGACTATTCTACCACTAATATTCTTCATTTACTCCTTATTCGTTTATTATTGTATACCATCCATATAATTCATTTTTCTTTCCACTTCATGGTTTATCATTTATGTCTTTTCATAACTAACATTGATTACCAACTATTACTTACTTACGCCTGTTCTCCTCGTGGAGGAGCATAGGCCGCTCATCAGCATTCTCCATCCAACCCTGTCCTGGGAAATCGTTTCCAGCTCTTTCCAGTTGTTATTCATCCTTTTCATATCTGCTTCTATTTCCCAACATAATGTGTTATTTGTCCTTTGTATTACAGACTATGGGTGATTACTATTATTATTTAATAAGAAATCATAATTGTAAAACAAAACCCCCCTGAGTGTGACATAATCAATAGTTTTAATGTTTCGCCCAACAATCTGGTTCAAGCTTCTTCAAGAAAATTATTATTGGATATAGTTTGTTCTCACTGACCATTTTTATCATCATAACATAAAGCATAGATACATAAGAATATACAATATGATCAAATTATGTATAGTAGATATTGTTTAGTTTGTTTAAAGCTAGTTCATCTAAAGTAAATATTAAAAACAAAAAAAAACACCATCGTAGAATGGGGTGGGTGGGTGGGTGGGGATAGAAAGAAAACAAGAAAAGAGAAATAAAAAGGGGGGCTCTGAAAAAAAGAAGATAAATCCGATCGAAATATTACAAAGAGAATAGGGGTAACTTAAACTTCTCAAATCACCCTACCAAACTTAGAACCAAACAAACAAACATTAGAATAAGGTTGATTATTGTTTACTTATTTATCCCTTTTATAAAACGGATGTTATACATTGACTGTATTATGTATTTAACCATGAGTTTAAAGTTATAGTAAAACACTATAGATTGAAATGAATGAAATCACTTATTTACCTTTCCTGTCCCCCCATCCCAAAAGGATGAAAACCGGAATAAATAAGATAATGAAAAAAAAACTCATTTGTCTTATCAATTTACTTTACCCAATACAACAAATATATGTGAAATAGTTGTTTAGTTGACTCTTTTGTGGCGAATAATAATTCATCTATAAGGTCATTTATATCGCAGACCAACATTCTTCAACACATTCACATTGTACTGGGCCTTCCTTTCTAGTTCTATCACAATTTTTATTCATTCTTCTCATATCTATCTTCATTTCTCGGTGAAGTGTGTTCTTTGGTCTTTTTCTTTTACTTCAGCCTTGAGGATTCCAAGCGAAGGCTTGTCTTGTGACACCTGAAGCCCCTTTGGGGCTACATTCCGGTCCTAAGCACGGACAAAAGAGGAAGGTTGGGCATAGAGTTAGCAACTCAATCCTTTAGAAAACTAACTCGCGAAAAAAACGCTAACGAGAAAAATAAGTATATACATATATACAATCGAAAACCTGGAAGCACTAGATAGCTGTTTTGTTATAGTATGAATCTCTTCAGTAAAGCTCGTTTATGATCTCCAGACAAGGGGAATCAAACCCAGAATCTTCGATTTGGCGCGCGAATGTTTAATCTTCGCGATATTGCACGACCATTTTCCATTGCTTTGGGGGAGTAACTACCTCACATCCGACACGGCTTATATATAATTATTTCTGGTTAGCGTTTTTTTAGCGAGTTAGCTTTCTACGGGCTGAGGTCGCTAACCCTATGTCCAACCCTCCTCCTTTATCCGGGATTGGGACCGGCAGTAGCCCCCGGAGGGACTCCAGGCGGAGTTATATATATATATCATTAGGTCAAATGAATATTTGCTTTTTAGCAAAATAAACAATTTTCAAGTTATTTAAATAGCTACTATTTAAAATGTTTACTAAAGATGAATCAAAGAACTAATGAGCTTTAAGAATAACTCAACATATTCTAAGATTACACTTGTATTACTCATACTGTTATGAACGAGAAGATAGATGGGGACAATCAATGTATATCCATATAAAATTACATTCAATACTTTATTTGCAAATTCTCTATTTCATTGTTCCTACATTCCTATAACAATTACTCTCTGTATCCATTCTCGTCGATCTGATCTTTCTGTTAAGTGTTGTATACTACTTATACTTGTTCATATAAGAAGTGCACATCACATTACTACTAGATGATAACCTCTTATAATCAACAAACTTTTGGGTTTAGTTTCAATATGTAACTTATTGACTTGATTTAAACACGTATGGGAAAGCTGGGAAATTCTCTGATTAACTGGAAGTTTGTATATGAATAGAGCTAATACAATTGATGAAACTGTATAACATTTTCAAAAGTTATCAAGGTTTTTCTCGAATTATTTAGCGAGATAAAAAAAAACGAATATATATAGTTGTCTAGGGATTAAGTGTTTACGCAAGAGACCGAATGTTCTGGGTTCGAATCCCGCGAGCAAGATATGGATGCATATTGTTAAGGAGTTCCATACTAGGACAAAACGATCGTCTAGTGCC